GGTACTCGGCACCGCAAACCCAGCAGCAGACACCCACCTCCCCGCGAACCAGCTTGTATTACCGTGGGGATGGGTACGCGAGCGGGTTACCGCCGATTTCATACGCCACCGGAACCAACGCGAGTGGAAATACAACCGCGACTAGCGGTACCGGAGCGACCACCGGTGCACCGTCATCAGCGTCAAGTGAGCACCGGAAAAGCACGTACCGTATGAGTATGGCACCTTCCGCCGCTACCGCTACCGCCACAACCAATGCTGCGTCAGCGACGTCGACGGCGGCGGTTGTGAATGGGGCGCGTGGGTACGGGTTTGGGAATAACGCTGCTGGTGGTGCGAGTGCGGGTGGATATGGGGAGTACCGCCAGTCGCGGTATGAGGGGGGAAGCAAAGGTGCTGGCGGGTTGGCGGGAGTTGGGACGACGGGGACGGGGCGGAGGAGTGGTGGAGGGCGAGCAGAAGGGAACGGGTATGCGCAGGTAAGCAGGATTTTGGTACATGTGTAGTGGTTTTTGGTAAAAGGTACTAATTTGTTGCTTTTTTGTTCTTGCAGTGGCGGTAATCCAACACAAACAACACACCATCAAACACCCAAAACACCCCCAAAACACCCAACAACCTGAAACACCCTACCAGAAAAAACACTCAACAATCCCCCACCACGCAACGCAACGAAACGAAAAGCCCCCGGTCTCCACCCATGCCCGCACGCGGTGTATTATAGATTAGTATCTCTTTTTGTTTTTCTCTCTCACTCCTTTCCTTTTTTTTTCGGGTCGGTTCTTTTCGTTGTGGTGTGGTGTGAGGGCGGGGTGTGAGGCCGTGGGTGAGGGGTTTATTTTTAAAAAAAATGAAAATGAAAAGGGAATTATATCATGAGGCGTTTCTTTGGGCGAGAGTATGTGCTGCTGGCATATTTATTGTTTGGGATGTGCATCAAACCAAATATTACATTGGCGCGTGGGACGGGACTTTAGGTCCACATCTTACACATACGGGATACCTTTTCATTGCCCCTGTTTTTTGCGTCCATCGAATGGCGAATGGAAGTGGAGTCAACGAAAAACGAACAAAAAACGGCTCACCAAAAAACTGCGCTGATCGTCGCCGCAGTTGAGAGCATGCCCTCATGGATGAGCTGATTGGCTTGCGTTTCTTGGGTGGTTGGTTCTGTTGATCAATCCAGGGTCACGCCGCCAGGACTTCCGCTAATAGACCACTCTAAAATGGTATGCAACGCTTTAATGAATGCAAAAATGTTGAGATTGGCCTGAATGAAGATGTGGCATATGGAGTTTGCGGATCAAGTGTGTGGGGTAAGGCGTAAATCTGCGATGTGAAGAAGGACCAAGATATTTGATGAAGAGAGCCAGTGTTCGGTTTATGCCCGTTCAAGCATGGCAGAAAGTGAACTCTGTACCGTTGATGCGCGGGTGCTAGGGTTTGAATCCCAAAGCTTTAGCTTGATACTTTTCGCTTTCGTTTTTTTCTTTGGTTTGGTTTTGTTGAGACCTTTGAGACCGCAGCACGGCCTGTAAATGAAGGCTCAAGTCACCAACAGGAGCAGATCACGAATCCAGTCCTGGACCCGTGAAGCCAAAACTGGTCCCTGGCCGGTGTATGCGCAAGATGTTGGTTCAATCCAACCCCGAGTTAGGTACAATTCTACACCGTGGTTGTTTTCTTTCCATTCGGAATGGTGGCTGCCGTAAAAGGAAACAAAAAAACAGAGTTGTATGATCGACATGACCCGTGGGCGGAGCTTTGAGTCCATTTTGTGGTGCGGCCAATCTCTCTGGGTTGATTAAATTCTTGCGCCGGGGATGCGAATGAAACGAACACGACTCTGATATGTACCTCCTGATGTCTGCTTGAAATGTATCCGCCGAGAGAGGTAGTACTTTGCGAGTAGCGGTGGATATCTCCCCTGGGGTCACTGAACGGTGATTCGAGGGGATGGCACCTTCGTGTATCATTGCTTTTTTTGGCCGACTTTGCAGGACAAAAGGTACGGTGCGTAGCCGCTGCTCCTCGTTCTTCTCATTTCCGGGGTTCTGGGAGGAAAAAAAGAGAACTATCACGGGGGTCCACAAATGAACTTGGAGGGTATCCAAGGAATCATCATATTTGAGCTTCCTCGTGTGGTGTATTGATCAATGTGGATATGAAACGTCTGTCGTATCTTCCAAGGAGAGGTTAAGTGTAGGGTGGCAATGTCCATTTGGCGTCTATCATTTTCCAAACGGTGGTTTCAAAGGAATCAGTTCCTATTCACATTTACCAACCGCGTCTTTCTTTTCGCCAGGACAAGACAAAACAAGTGTAATAGAAGTCGGAGTCAAAGGGTCAAGCTCGAGCGAGAACTTGGACCACTTACTGTTGTATGTTTGGTGATTGGATTTTTTTTCTCATGTGTTCTCGCAACGTACCCGTCAATCCCGGAGACTAAAGGGGACTCGCGGAGAAGCATTCACGGTATTCATGTCTTTTTCGCCCACGCACGCGAATGTCCAAAGACCAGCTGCATACATCACGCGCCCGCGAAATCTTTCGGAGTCTGCCGCGGGGACGTGCCGCCGTGTCGCGCGTGGGCCATACCATCTTCGTGCTGCTTTTTTTGAAACAGATACCTCGCGCACATGGGCATATGGTTCTGTGCGGAGCTTCAAAAGATGTCCCATGGTATAAGGGCGTCGCAGATATTGCAACGCTCATCTTCTGTGCTTTCCACGGGGTTCGCGGAGTAGTGGAACATCATGTTTCGGTTGTAAAAAATCATTGGGTATCGTCGAGCAAAGACGTGTGCCGCATCATTGTCGCTGCTGGTTTCGCGCATTTGGAAGAGTGTTGCTGGACTGTTTCAAAAAACCTGTATTCGTCAGCGCAAAACAAGGCTGCAACGAGTGAGAATTGAGCGCGAATGTCAAAGCTCCGTTAAATGCTAATTGTGGTTGAATCTTGGGTAAGCACATCTGCGTTCTAAACTGGGTTTTGGCCTTTTTTCGAAAGTGGCTCCCTGGAGTATTTGAAGGGATACTGCCCGTATTTTGCACCAGGGTAACCGACATCAACTTTAGCACTGGTCTTCGGAAGCTGACATGCGAATGAAACCGGCTACTGAAACTGGTGCGGCCAGATGGGGTTATGCGGAAGCAATAGGAACACCTATCCTTCATGTGTCGTTGCTGTCGCAACCAGAAGTGATAATAGGTATCCGAAGTGCGCAGTCCTTCCGCGCCACAGCCAAGCATCTGGCTGGGATGGTTCGATCCAGAAACCGGAATTGGGACGACCAAGCCTTTGCCCTCTTCCATCCTCCAACGAAGCATCCATTGCATCTCAAGGACAGAAGAATGAGCAGGAGCAGGCGCACTACGTTGTTCGTCGCTGGTTTCGGTCCCGAAACGAGGGCGAAGGATCTTGCGTACGAGTTCGAGAGGTACGTGGCCACTGCTAGATAACGCCGCAATCGGGCCGTGGGAAGGAGATCTGGATTCGGCCAAGCAAGGCCCTTTGTCGTCGGAACGCCGACCACAAGACGGCCGCCGTGTGCTCGCTGCTTCTTACCGACAGGGAGCAGCAAAATACATGGAGCGGGAACCATTTGGAGAGCTTGTGTCCTTTGTTGCCATCGGGGTATCTGATCTCTGGCTTCTCTCTTCTCGAACACTTACACAATCCAGATACGGCAGACTGGTGCGTTGTGACATCCCAGCGCCTCGCATGGGACTCACCAGATCGTGAGTGTTTTTACGCAAGTCCTTCTTCGCCGTTCATACTGGTTTAACTTTTCCACTTCACCTCCATACACAGCACATATGCTTTTGTTGAGTTCGAGGATCCCAGGGATGCCGAGGATGCGCTCCATGAGATGCGCGACAGGTTCGTGGAACGTCCAGCTACCAGTTCCTCATTTGTGCTTTGGGAGAACTTATCCCTGACGTCGTGGTTGCTGGTAATCAAATCAGGTCCGTGGACGGATACGTGATCAATGTTCAGGTTTGTAGCGCTTGTCCTGCTGCATGTTTGCATTCGAGCAGTGGCATAACTGATGATTCTGACCGCGCACTTTATTTTCAGTGGGCCAAGAACACTCCCAGCCGTAATTGGCGCTTCGACGACAGGGAACGGGGTCCTCGCGGTGCTCCTCGTCGCTCCAGGTCTCGTTCACCCGCACGCGGAGGCTCCTCCCGTTATGATGACAGGCGTCGCTCCCCTCCTCGCCGCGACGATGACCGTGAACCGAGGCGTGACCGCGACGACAGGCGCGACGACAGGCGCGACCGGGAACGCGACGTCGAGAAGCGCGATGTTGATGGGGATACCAGGATGGACAATGGCCATGACGATCGCAAGAGGGAAGCCAGCCCACGTCCTCAGAATGGTAATCGCAGCCCGGTCAGCAAGAGGAGGGAGGATGACGATTAAGGGGTCCCAAAGTCTAGCACCTTTCAACGCAGGTCCAACGGCAAGGTGAATGTCACAGCAATGATCACGCCGCTGTCTGTAGGTTTCACAAAACAGGTTCTGCATCTGTGGTTGCGATATAATTTGAGACTTTTCCACTGTTGTGATTTGGGGGGGAAGGGTCTGTAAAACTGCTGAATAAACATGGGTCTTCCGCATAAATCGTCGTGATCTTCAAATGTTGACATTGGCAAATGATTTGATAGCTGCTCTTCCATTTGTGTACCTCATAAGTTCGGCCTCGCGGGATGAGCATTTTGCTTGGGAGGGGCAGACGGCAGATTGGCTATCCTTAGCTCGTATTTCCCCCCGTTCAGCCCAAAAAACGAAGCAAAGCAAGACGGCCACCCAATGAGAACAACTCAGATTGCTAGCGCTTGCAATTTGCTCGATGAATGAGGCACACAACACGCCGACAAAGAACATTCGAAGAGGCGCACCGCCAACTCTCCCAGCTCAAAAAAAAAAAAAACCTTATCACCCAAAAGACTCGTAAGCTCAGAGTAACGTGGTTGAAGCGTCGAGAAGAAGATGACACGATGGCCGAGTGGTTAAGGCGATTGACTAGAATTCTACAGCAGCGCGTTGTAAGATTGGAATCAATTGGGATTTTCCCGCGCAGGTTCAAATCCTGCTCGTGTCGCTACTCAAAGTGGAAAAGTCTGCACCGACAGCTCGTCGTGCCGGTTTTTTTTTGTCGTACGTTGCCGGCACTATCGAATTCCTATTTCCTTCAAGCAGGGAAACCGACATAAAAAACACATTGGTACCTCACATGGGGGAAGCGATCATCTCCCCACTTCCCTGAAATGATTGGGCGAGTAATAGGTTAAAGGGACAATTTAACACGGTATTTTGTATTTTCGCATTCATTCGCGGCAAATTTTGTCAACGGCGTGGTCGGGAGGGGGAAGATGAGAGGAAAGATTACGTTTCTGTGTTGCCAATCAGGAGGGTGAAACGTCTGGAAGACAGTGCTTGACGATCCTTTCAATAAGGTAAACCTTGGAAAGGTGGTTCAAAGCAAGGTAAGCGACCCCGATGGGATTCAAATTGAGTTTGGCAGCCCTCAGTATTGACCGCCTGCGCAAACAATAAGCTGAAAGGGGTGGAATTTCAATGATCTTTTGTAATTTTAACTTCTTTCGCGATCGTGGTCGCTGCGAGTGGGGTAAAGATTGTGTTCGGTCGATGCGTTCCGTAGATATTAGATGGGCAAGGAGATCACTACTCGTATAATCCTGTTGACATAAACAAGGTCGGCATGGATGGGAGAAAGTCAGTGCACCGGGTGGCGGGTCAAATCTTAAACATGGCGGCAATGGAAAGGTAGAGATAATTCACTGCTCAGACAATTCACCGCTCAAATGGTACATGAAGAACCGCCAAAGATGCACTGTTAAACTCGAAATCAATACAACCCAATATGCAACATTGGGAAAGTAGATTTTAGGCGCAGTATTTTCGCAAAAGCCAAGTGAAGCGCTTCTCCTAATCATCCACGTAATGCATGCCACATACTACGCACTCCGAACGGCCTTGCCGGTCAGCCCAAGTGCACGGAGTCTCCATCGGACTTGGTGGTAGTTCCGATTACCACCAAAGTTGCGCGCGATTTCTCCAGCATTTGCACCAACTTTTCCATACAAGGCCATAAGCTTTTCGTCTTCCGCTTGGGACCATCGTCCCTTCCGGAGTGTGTTCACACTGATGCACCGCACACGACAATCATCATAACCTCTTGTGCCAACATGGTCTGAGACTTTGCCCCAAGTCCTCCCAAACATTGCCACTCCTTCCTTCAACTTGGCATCTTCCTCCAAAGACCATTTCCCCCTCTGTCGGTTGCCGTCAAGAGCAAAGCAACGCCACATAACTGATCGTCTCCATCGGCCCAACTGATTTGCGAGGGTGTTGGGGGACAGGTCATTCTTTAGACCTTCGACAATTATAGCATCCTCCTTCGGGGAAAATGGTCCGTGCTTCGTGACTCTCAGCTGTTCACACTTGTACTCTACGGAACGGGATGTGCGACCTAAAGCTCTGGCAATGCGACCGAGGTCTACCTTTTGGCCCGAAGTTCGCATTTCAACCAAAATACTTTGCAACTTTGATACTTCATCATGGGACCACATCCCCCTTTTGCGGGCGCGCAGGTCGTCTTGAGGCATTCTCCACCGATTATGGCAGCTGTGAACACTTCTGCCGGGCAACGAAGCAGCAATTTTCTTCATAGGCACTCCCTTTTCCCTCCCAACACATAAAAGCGCATCTTCATCTGCAGTCCAGCGAGTTTGCCGAACGGGTCGATACAATGGAATTTGTGAAGTCTCCGGCAGTTTTGGGCCCAACGTTACGGCACGCTCGAACAAAGGCGAACCAGCGGTCGTGCCATACCCAAAGCCAGCGGAAACAGCTGCGGGCCGACTCAGGACAAGCATAGCGCGGTTATGGCGTGGGACCAAGAACATTTTGATTGGAAGGAAGATTGTGTGTGAGGAAGGAAGTTTCGAGAGCCAAAGTCACGCGCTTCTGCGCAGTTCATGTCGGATACCGTCAATATCCACAACACATTTTCATATCAGGATACCGCAACATCTCATCGAGGACAACTGTATTTCCTACAATGTTGCTGTGTATTGCATTAATATAGGGTGGGTTTACCTCTTGCTACCTGGGCCTGCTGATTTTCATCACGACGCAGTCCGTCAGTCGACTTGTACCCCGCAGGAGATCCTGCTGTGTATGATGGTTTATACATTGCCCTTTTGGTTTTTTGAGCCCTCCACAATAAGCCTAAGGTATGCGTCCAGCGAGTGAAAAGTACTAATGCACAGGAGACCCAGGCGCCGAAATACAATGCGTTCTGACATGGCGTTCGTACTTTGACTGGCGAGACGTCGTGTCTTGACAGCGCTCTTTGCATTGGATGCCCGTCGATGTCAGACCTCCGAAGGACCCTCTGTACAATCCCGAATTACTCTAATTTTTTTTCGCTTCTCCTGATATTGACCCTTTCCGCGTAGTAGATTTTCTTAGGGATCCACCCGCACAGCAATTATCTTCACTGTCCCGATCGAAGTCATTCCGGGGGCTCATAAGGAATTGATCCTTTGCCGAAACGTCTTTTGCCAGCTTTTGTTGGAACTACTCCGCGCATGGTCTTTCAAAAGGAAGAATGAATGCCGCGCCCGGCCAGCTCCTTGGCTATCGCGGACGCAGATTGGCATGTCATTGTGATTGCTCCATTCAGTCATTGTGGACAAGAACACCGGCGCGAGCGGATTTTGTTCACTGTATCCGTCATCTTGCTATGTTTTTTCGCCTTTCGCTCCTCTGCAAGCCATATCATCCCGTTTTTCCACCAACGGTCCCATTTCATCGTCAATACTGATCCCACAGCTGAAAAACAAGAATGGGAGCGAATCTGTTCACTGCCACCACGTTCCTCTGCATTTTTTTTTGCCTTTCGTACCTCTGCGCCGTTTTTCATTTGCCGCCAAAACGGTCCATTACATCTCAAATATTGAATCCGCGATTGAAATAAAGAAAGCGGGAGTTTGAAGTCAAACCCTCATTCGGCCCTGTCGATCCATCGGGAACGTTTTTTTTGGCGCAGGTATGGGTTGCTTTTATTGCGAAGTAAACATTTGGATACCCCGCGAGCGGGACGTGTTACGCTCTTCGTCGAACGCCAGTTGTCTTACGGCGTACAATTGCGTTAGTTTCAGGATACTGATGAATGACGGGTGAAGCACAGCGCGCACAGCGGGAGAACGTCGCTTAATTCGCAGCAATGCGCTTATAGTGTACCGGTGGGTCACGGTTTAAAACTACGCTTTTGACACCTCAAGTACGTGAATGGGACCAGGGAGGTTTCCAATCGCAATTAAGTACGTTTGGCAGCCAGCTTTTTTCCCTTCTTCGTTCCTCCCTCCATATGCTCTAAGATTGTTTGTCCCGTCCATCCGAGCACTGACGAAGCACACGAGAATTACAAAAGGAGGGCGGGGCTCAGACGCCTTGTTCAATCCAATGTATCGGTACGCAGGACTTCTGCCTTTTTTTCATCCTGAATCGAGGGTAGATTGTTCCAGTTGAGCCAAATGTGAACATTGCTGAGACTCACTCGCACACCAGAGTTGACAGCATTCAGCCGGGGCCGACTATCATTCGCCCGACGGTTCGCCGTCCTACTTTCAGTTCATCCTTTTTTTTCCACCAAACCACATCGTAATCAGACTCTGTTCACGTTTTACATTTTTGTACGTATGTGCGTGGTTTCCTTTCCGTAATGGGTGAAGAGCGGGTCCTACAGTATTGAACAGACCCCCCTGGCATCCATTCAATTATGAGAAAAAGCGGCCTCGTTGCCTACCCTTTCTTGAGTCCATTCTTTAACGGTGTTTGGAATGGAAAAAATTGATACCTGCTTCACAGTGTTTGGAATGGCGACGCGCGCACGAATTTTGCATTTTCAGACGACGGGGGGGATGCCAGGTCGTAAACCTTAAAGGAGGGGGTAAACTGCTGTTCCCCAACATATCCCTGCGCTTCCTGTGCTGGTGGACGTCCTTTTGCTCATTCTGCATGACGCATCACGCCGCTGTATTTGCTTGGATCCGTACATTGAGCCCGGAGAAAGCAAAATTGGCCCGTGACTCCGTTCGGCCGAATGTTGTTCGTTAGTGACAAGTTCAAGCCCGTACTCTTATTCCGGTTTTTCCATTTTTTGGGCGATTATGCGGATTTGTTTGAGGATTTACGGTCAGCGGAGTTGCGTCCCGTCAAGCACCAGTGTATCCAGGTAGTCGCAGTCGCACAGCGTCGAATGGCTCCCGTAGTGTTCGTCTGGCGGTCACACATCACCCATCTTGCATTTTGTGTGCGCAGCCGCTGCAAATGGTGTGCGCCCACACGGAGCCAGTCATTCAAGTGCGTATCGGAAGGTGTTGACCGCGATTGCCTTCCATTGAAGGTCGACCCTTCCTGGTGGACTTCTACTGCATCACTTCCGCAACCTTTTTTTGTCGCCCTTACCCAGCGAGTGTAATCGAAGATGAAGTGCGTGGGCAGAACCTGAGATGGCTCAGTTTCAGCGTTTGTGGGACTGCGGAGGACTGCGCGACCAGCGAGGCACAAAAAGATGGTGATTGGAACTATAAACATTTTAGAACATGCGCGGGGTTCCGCTACATGTTACTCTACATACAAACGTATGGAGACTGGATTGCCAGCTCACGTTTCAGGGCCGGGACGTTTTTCACCATCGAATGAAAGAACGGCCACGACTGCGCTTTTCGATGGGTATCCGAAGTACGAACAAACGTGCGAATCGTGGTACGTTTCGGACTTCCATACTGCAAACGCGGCGGGATCGTGGTCGTTCGCATTGACGTATCCAGCACTACCCTGCACAGACTTCTCCTTTTTTATCTGCCTACTGAACCGACAACACATATTGCATTTTTAGACATTATGAATCCCGGGCGACGGCCGATGTAGTGGGATGGTTATGCGCCACAAATTCGCTACCCTCAACGACGAATGGACGGAGGGATTAACCTGTTTCCTTCCCATTCTGTACTCACCTGGCTGCGTTATCTCGTTCATTTGGCCAAACAGTACAAAGCACACAACCGG